CAGTTTGCAGAAGAATGGGAGCAATGAGCTTCTAAAGTTAGCTTGTGTTCATCCCAGTCTCAGAGTTTTTATGTTTTGAGCTCACAGGAGCTTAATCTGGTTAGTGCTGAGTAGAAAGGGGGAGGGTATGGGGCCAATAGCTCCCGAACACATCCTAGTGGTCTCGGGGTCAATGGCCCTTCCTGATCCCTAACGCTCAGTGGGCCTCTGTGGCTGGCTCCCAACAACAACAAAAAAAAACCAGAAAAACAAAAAATCCTTCCCGATTCTCATCTTCATACTAAGTCAGGGGTACCAAAAAATCCCACCAATTGTTTTTTATTATTTATGGTGGCATTTTGCATCAGTGTCACCCTTTGGCTTGGGTAAAATGTGGGCTTCTGAGAGGGGCTGTGTTCAGGACGGGGGCTCTGCAGTCTCCCCAGAGGATGCCCCTCTGTTTGGAAGTCTTGGGAAACCACCTAAGAACTCTTGGGCCCAGCGAGATGACTCTGTGCACAAATGCATGCACATGCGAACCATACAGTCCTGAAGTTTGTATTTTTTTTTTTAGCTGGAGTCTCACTCTGTCACTCAGGCTGGAGTGCAGGGGCACACTCATGGCCACCGCAGCCCCGACTGGCAGGGCTGAGGCAATCCTTCCACCTCAGCCTTCCAAGTAGCTGGAACTACAGGCATGCACCACTATGCCTGCTAATTTTTTGATTTATTGTAGAGATGAGGTCTCAGCAAGTTGCCCGGGTTGGTCTTGAACTCCAGGGCTCAGGCAATCCTCTCACCTGGACCTCCCAAAGTGCCGGGATGACAGGCTGAGTCACCACACCTGGCCCAAATTTAGATTTTGAAGATCACGTTTTGCGGGCTGATAATTTTTTAAAAAACGAATTCCAAAATCCCACGCATAACAGGTAAATACAAATATAGGCCAGGCATGGGAGCTCACACCTATAATCTCAGCACTTTGGGAGGCTGAGGTGGGAGAATTGCTTGAGCCCAGGAGTTTGAGACCAGCCGAGGCAGCATAGTGAGACCTTGTCTATACAAAATAAAAGCATAAAAAAATTAGCCAGGTGTGGTGGTGTGTGCCTATAGTCCTAGCTACATGGGAGGCACAGGGGTCATTTCGTTTTTGGCCAAAACTGCTGAATGCTCAGTGCGGTGTGGGCAGGTGCATTGGTAAATCACCCAGTATGTAATGGACAAATGCATTGAGAGAATCTCAAAAAAAAAAAAAAAAAATCAATGAATTTGAACATAACCTCTTTCTTGAACCCACGGATGCCGATGGGTTCCTAGAACACTTACATAGTAGGGGAAGCCTGTATTACAAGGGACCCGCCCTCCAAAAGATGATTCTGGGTTGCTTTTTGGGGGGGTCCCCATCATAACGCATAATTCATAACTGATGAACCAAGATGAGTGCCCCTTGAACCTTCCTCAGTGGAGGTAAAAGTCTTGGCTGTGTGCACTATGGCTCACCATGACCACTTCTTGGAAGGTCATAGGACAAAGGTCAGAGGGGCTTCCTCCTGCTTAAGTAACCCCCTGGTTCTGCTCACAGACATGGGCCGTTGACTGGGGGCAAATACTTCCATGTCTACACAAGTACTTAAAGATCCCAAGGGTCCTGCT